GAAAGACTAAAACAGTTTTTAATCAAATTAATGGATGTGAGTTTCAACCTCTTTTTATTTTAACTTCCATTAAGGAAGAAATATAGTTGAATAACACTGCATGGGACTCTGATGTAGATTTTTTAAATCTTGGAGCTTTTAGTTTACTTTTAAAATTGATCGTCTTAAATACATACATAAAAATAATATATGGATAAACAGGCAACTATGTGGTATAAAAATCAAAGTGGGTCCATACTAACACATTTCTAAGTAATTTATTATGAAATATTAAAATAATTACGAAACTAAACTTTAAAAAAGTAAAATAAAAACAGACGACTCGTAGAATTTCTGTTTTTTTACGAAAAATAAATTGAAGTATACTTATACTGAGGAAGAATGTGTAAATAAATGTATGTAAGATTCCAAATACTATAGATCACTAAATTTTCGCGACACCATATTTTCCCAATATTGTCATTGACTCTTTGTAAGCGAGACAATTTTCACGAATAGATGTTATTCCTCTGTATAATCATAAGGAATACCTTTAAACGCGAGATGGTAACTTCGCGAACGCATTGGCTCGTTGAATTACGCAAAAATACAGTTCTCGCGAATAAAGAGTGATTTACAACACTATCAAAGACTTACCAATAAGTAGTTTTCCATTATTAGACAAAAGTGAAATCAATAAAATATAAAACCTAGAAGTAGACATTAAATCCAAGCCGTTAGGCAATAATAATATTTTGAAACTCCTGAAGAATAGTTGGCCTGAGTAAAGATGCCAAAGGGTAAAGCACTGGTTGTATCTTTTCGTATCTCATTGACAAAAAATCTTTATATCCCGAGTGTTGTCAGTACCTCCGGTTTTCATATCGATGTAATAAAGCACTTAAAACCCACACTAATCTATTGTCCAGAGACGGAAGTATATACTCGGAAAGGGAAATCTGCGTCATTGAATAGAAACTGTATTGACTTACTCGCACACTAACTTTCCTAGTCATACTTGAATGGAGTATATTCCTATAGAAATGTGATTTGTAAGATAAACATTTATACAGTACTTAGCTAATTTGAAAGTCAAAATGCAAATTGTTCTTTCAATGTGCCCTGTCAAGGTTTGTATCATTGATAGATACTACAGGGGCGTGGCATTGTTTTTTGAAAGAGCAAAATATCCCAAACGCGAAAATCCTATAATATTTAATATTGCTGACGATGATTTTAGAGTTCATTCCCCATTTCCATAAAATATTCCAAAGAAAACATTTGTTGGTTTGCTACATCTTACTGAAAGAACTCAGACTCCGAGTAATTTACGTGTAAAATTAAAATTCGTAACGGCAAACTTACAATGTATACTGTTTAAATGCTTAAAAAAACATTGCCAAAAACTGCGTCAGCAAGCATAGAATAGCATAGAATAGAACTAGCATAACTAGCATTGACGTGATTGACTTTCTTAATAATCAGATCTTAGCTATTAGCAGGAATCTAACTATTATATAGAAAACAAATAGCTTTTTTTGTAAAAACTGAATTCAGACGACAAGGAAATAATACTGGTTTTATAATTAAAAAAAAGAGAGAATATCAAAAAATCACAACACCAAAAGAAACTCTTTCGGTTTCACTTTCGATCTTCAAAAATCTCTGTAATGAAAAAAGGCAGATATGAATTATAAAGCATTACTTTATTGCTTTTGACTGGAATATTTGAAATTAAACTAGCGAACAGTGGGTTTATTTAGCGGGTGTAAAATTTAGTGTTTTGCTTTTTCTATGCCAATAATTACGGTGGAACTTATTTTGGCCGACAATGAGTCATTAGATATTGTGAAAGAGAGGAAATTTAACTACTAGATGAGTTATTAGTATGTATATTATAATTATACATCTGAATGGCAATTTTAACAAGATTTAAGTAAAAAATTAAATAGAATGCTTTACAACAGACTTATCAATATTTTTTTGCATTACTAGTTATATGCTTTTATAGATTTATAGATCTGATTAAAATTATAGAGGGATATTTCAAAACCGCTTTGCCCCCCCCCCCCCCCCCCCCCGAACACTTACTTCCTTGTAGCATAACGCAACTTGATTTAGCGTTGATCCTATTTGAAAACAGAAAAAGTACCACCAGGATAGGGATAACTAGCATTAAGTGAACAAGCAAAGGAAAAATTGATACTTTTAAGCAAATATTTTATTTTGAAATTATCATAAATGTTGTAACAAAAGTAGACACCAGCCGTATAGTAAATGTATGTGGTGTAGAATTGTAAATAACCACTTACCAGAAAGCCTTCTTCCAAAATTACATATCGATAAAACAAGTATGATTAAAAACATGGCGTTATGTTTCAACATGAAAAAGAAGCAGATAAGTTAATTTTTGTAAACATAATCTTTTTTTTCAGATTTCTCCGGATCCTTTCCACTAAAGGACAATGAAATACGAGCAGTGATTGATCACAAAAATCCGGTAAACAATACAAATCTATTAAAAAGGCCTCAAACACCGACCCCTTGAATATAGACTTTCTCATATCATGTTGCTATTCGAATTTCTAAAAAAAAAAATATATCCTTTTGCTTGAATTTAAAAAATGATTCTCTCCTGGTTACACTGTTCCCTGCTTATTTATCTCTAGTTTATTTTGAAATTTTATTTTCCTTTTGTTTTACTTTGTTTTAAACCGGAGTCAATGGCACATAGTCCTTGATAACATAAAATCCACATGAACAATCAATGTTTACAAAGTTTTTGTATATACAGCATAGAATTTTATTTTACTTCATTACGCTGACGAAAAATCTATCTTGACGTCACAACTGTGGGATACTAAAACGATATATAATGATCTAATTATATTCATAGGATAAAGGGGTAAATATGGGATAAAAACTGTATAACCCTCTCTTGTATTTTAGATAAGGTGTCATTAAGCTTTAAAGTAAAACAAAATATGTTTGTTATACCTTTAAAAAATTGTTCCTATACAAATCTATACAGAAAAAAAGTCTAACATTTTTAATGTTTTGCTGAGCGGGCATAAAAAAATCGATGTTGGACCGCTGAGTTAGATGTTGGACCGCTCCGAGAAATGTTGGACCGCTTACGTCACAGAATGGGCGGAGCTTGATCTCATTTTCGTTCTTTGGTTTTAAACAGTGACAGATCTAATGTTACATTATGGAATATAGTACAAAATACACGTATGTCAAAAAATATAAATAAAATGAAAGGTATAACAAAACATTTATTGACAGAATTCTCGGGCAAAATGCGTTTTGTCGGACCCTCGAACCAAACTGTCTGCCTTCGGCCTAACGGCCTCAGGCAGACTGTTTGGTTCTTGGGTCCGACAAAACGCATGTTGCCCTCGAACTCAGTCAATAAATGTATAATATGAAACAATAAACTTTATTTTTTTATCGTCACAGCGAGTTTACTTTGAGTTTACGCGGCTCTTATGGATAACTTTATCTGGCGTGGGTCTGTTTGCACCTTATATCTGGGAAACTTTAAGAGGAAGATACGTGAAATTATGTTCATGTACTGAGTGACAAAGTGTATTGTTTTAGAATACAAGAACTCATAACTTTGTCTTGACTTTGGAAAAATGTGGAGATAAAGAACATTAATCAAGCTATGATTGATTGATTATATGTTGTTTAACGTCCTTCTCGAGAATTTTTCACTCATATGTAGACGCCACCACTTGCCGGTGGAGGGCTACAAATTTTGTCCTATGCTCGGCACTCAGGGCCTTTGAGCAGTGAGGGATCTTTTTCGTGCCAGCACCTACTGCGACACGGGGCCTCGGTTTATACGGTCTCATCCGAAGGACCGGTCTCCACGTCCCGCAGTGGGATTCGAACCTGCGACGTAAGGATTGACTCCTTACTTCGCGACTCTAGAGCAGACGCTCTAACCACTGCGCCACGCGGGAGACTAATCAAGCTATGAAGTTCATTTTTAGAATATAAATTTAGAGTGGAGCAATACATTAGAAGTGCAATTAGGTGCCATGGAGGATAAGGCATCTCCTATCACTCCCTCCGTGTGATCATACATGTTGTCATGAGAGGAAAAATAGAAAATTCGTAGCTGATAAAGTGTTTAGATAATGGACACACAATCAGTATTTAAGAACGGTAATTAGTAATTAGTATTAAACTTAATGATTGTTTTTTTTTTTTGCATGTTCAAAGACTCGAAATCCTTCTTGATATACTTTTCATGAATGTTCATAACTCATGCACAGCTTATTTTCAGTATGACTTTTGAGTGGTAAGTCTGTGGTTAATGTACTTGAATGTGCATTGTTCGTAGAAATGCATTTTTAAAACTCTCAGGGTTACATTTCACTTTACTTTGACCCACTTTTTAAGAACACCCAAAATCGTAATTCAATTTGTCTTCTGTTTTGAGAGGTATACAGGCAACTTAGCCACATATGATTCTCATATGAGTATCATATGATTCTCATATAATTGGTTCATATGAAAATCATAGAAAAAGTGCATCATATGTGAATCATATGAAGCAAATCATATGATTTACATATGATCCACATATGTGAATCATATGAAAATAACTACATATGATTTTCATATGAATGACTTCAGTGTGTTTCAAGCCATTTACATATGAGAATCATATGAAAATGGCATCATATGTAAATCATATGAAACACTTATGTGTGTTTCAAGCCATTTACATATGAGAATCATATGAAAAGTACATCATATGTAAATCATATGAAACACTTGTGTGTTCTTTTTCAATATTTTTCACATTCTTTTACACATTTAAAAATCAGATATTTCTGCTTTAGATGAAAATTCATTACATTACAATGATCAATCTTCATTGGTTAAATATTTTAAAATATCTTAAAATGCTTACACAACCTTTTTGATAAAATTATTATCATCAAGAGAAATAACTTATTTTTCACAGTGTACATTCTAAACAAGAAAATATACAAACAAGTCAGTAGCATTTGTCGATACATGTATTAAACATATTCTAACATGAGTACAAATTATAAGATTTCAGCAAAATGATTTAGTAGTTAAACATGTATACTGTACATGTACAAATGAATAACATAATTAGGTAATGTATAAAAATACCATATGACATGAAAGTGTCCAAAGCAACATTGAAATATCAGCAATAACATTTGTCATGTAATCTCTATTGTAAATTTATGAAAAATCAAGTTATGGATTATTCCAGCATACATTATGGGAAATCTTCACAGGTCAAATTCAGACAAGATTGTGTACATCCTCCCCATTTCATAATTATTCCATATATTTCCTTGCTCTTTTTCCTTCTTTATCTTTCAGTTTTGTCAGTTGTCCTCCCTTTGATCTTCCATGATCATTTTGAAAATCTCTTTGAACTGTACCGTACCAAAAATGAATATCCACCACTTCTCCTTTTCCTGAACAATTTCTTTGTGGCACAGAATGGTCTCTACAAAAATTTCAAAAGTAAAAATAAAATAATTCTTAAATTCTATGAGTTATAAAAGTTACTTAGGTATAATCAGCAAACAAATGTATGCCCAATTCACTGACACAGATATGATACAAGATAAAACTAATGTTATATATGTTATACTAGGTGTTTTGAGGAATCCTATGATGTAATTTGCAAAACAATTACACTATTGAAAGATATGCTTCATAATAAAATCATAAAAAACTTTTTTTTTGTTATTTTGACAATTAAATTTGGAATGTTCAAACAGTATATATTAATTCAGATTGTCAAAAAATTAAGAAGATTCTGATACAGATACATGTATATTATTTTTGGACAAAAATACTACAGACAAGTAGACAGGCAGAAAAACAGACATTGTAATTCCAAGATATCCCAAACTTTTGGGAAGACTATAACAAAGTTTATTTAACAGCAGGGTTCGAAATTAACTTTTTTTAGCACTAGTCCGCACGGACTAGTGACTTCTAGCTTCCACTAGTCCGCAAACTATTCCACTAGTCCGCCCACTAGTTTGTAAAAAGAATAACACAAATCTTAAAATTTTATCAATTAATTCAATGAAATATGTGTCCACACATCAGTTGAAAGCATGTGGTGAAGGAAAGAGGGTTTTCAACTTTCAGAAGTCTCCACATGGTCACGTCTTTGTCTATCGATCACAATGTAGAAAACGCTTTATCGCGGTTGCGTTTCTCGTTTATTTTCAAACGTCTGAGAGATTCGGAAATAAAATTAATAAAATGTGAACCGATTCAAGACTTATATCCGGATTTGCACTAGTCCGTGCGGACTAGTACCTTACAAAATCTGCTAGTCCGACACAATTTTTACTAGTCTCGGACTTACGGACATGAGTTAATTTCGAACCCTGTTAACAGTGTGTAGTTACCTTAACTTTGAAGCAAGCCTTGGATCTTTATCTTACGAGAGGCTGACTGTATATTGAACCTGTAAGACAAATACTAACAGTCTCACACAGTAGATATTTTCTAAGAATACATTTAATTAAAACTTAAACTATCAAAATGAGAGAGTACAAGTTTGTAGGTCTCTATAGTCTTAAATATATCTAACATTTAACCCGAAACTATAGGCACGCACACCATTCACTAGTGTTGGGGGGAAAAAATAATTGTCAGTAAATGAATACATAGATGTAAATATTCAATGGATTAGCTAGCTGATGTTCTTTCAACACACATGCACATGTATTCATACCTTTAAAGTTGGATGCCACTGTTAAAAATTTTTAGTTGAAATTCAAAAATCCAATTTATCCCCCCTTTCCCCACAAATTTATTGTATACTATAAAGTTTCATAGCCTTTACAGCCAGCAAAATCTATTCATACTTTGCATATTTTAAGTGCACTGGATTAAAATTATAATGTAGAATAAAATTTCTAGAGTATTGAGTTGAGTTGAATTTTAAATTTTTGATGAAGCCATGCAAACAATGTAGAATTATAAAAGAACTAAAAGAAATTATCAAGAAATATTTTGTCATAAAGAGACATTACAGATACTTTGATTTTTTATTTCAAGTATTTATTTTTACCTTCAAGGATAGAATGCACTTTACCGGTACGGCCGCCATTTTGATTCTAGATCCGCGCGTGAGAGTGCGCGGCGTAAAAACTTAGCAACGTATCAACAATGATGGGCGACGCCATTTTGTTGTGTAAGAAACTCTCGAAGCGAGAAAAAAAGATATCTAAATGGGTTTTCGCTTTTTTAAGCGGGGGCAGCCCCCAATACGTAAAAATAAATAAAACAATCTTACCTTAGTCGTTAGATAAATCTGCGTTAAGACTCGGGGCCATACGTACGTGTCACTATACATGTAGAACCATTGTGTCTTTTTTTGATGAGTTGTAAATACGTTTTTATGGGTGATGAAGGAGATAAACGTCAATTTTTAATTATAGCTACTACAGTATCCTAGTGCATTCTTGTTTTAGTAGAGATTTCCTATATAACTGCATTCCATGTGGTCTCAATGATTGTAAAGTATCCAGTGTTTTGCACATTGAAATAGATAAATTTTAGTTCGTAAATCCAGGATTTACTGCAGCTCTGTTTCCAGAAATCTAAGATGTGTCTCTTACGTTTCATTTTTCTTATACTGCCGATTGCTGTTTCTCGAAACAAGACCGTCCTCACTGCATGTTTACAAGTTTTGCCTCTCCACTTAATCAACATTTCCATAAACTAAGGATCACATTTATCGCTAAAATTTCCAAAAATTCTGGAATGTTGCAGTCAGTCAATTAAAAATATCCATTCATAGAAAACAAAACACATATCATCTTAAATAAGGTGCATGATGAATCACTGTTTACAATCAAATAGATAGTTTTCGATAGGCCTGAATTTAGCGAAAGTTACCTCCCGTTGGCCGCAATATTGGAGGTCGACTCAGTGATTTTCCCTCTTTGTCTTACCAAGTTTAAGAAAATATAGCAGAAATATTTGGTGGAAAATCTTTATCAAATAATTTTTTTTAAATAAAGGAGGCTTCCAAAAATTTATATACTTTAGAAAAAAAATGATTTCCAATTCAAAATAGCAAATATAGAAATTTTAAATTGGTTGAACAATGAAGGAATATGAGCATTTGGACCTCCAGTATGGCGGCCAACGGGAAGTAACTCTTGGTCAATCGAAAACTATCTATAGAGCGGAAGTCAAACTTTCTATTTCACGTCACCTACCCTGACCAATCACAGCACTGAAATAAGTCACGTGCTTAACAACGTCACTACTTTGGAATGTGGCCGACAAAATGAAAGCCAAAGGTTTGTTTTGAAAGTGCTTTTAGTTTTAATTAATAACTTCGTTAATTAAACGAAGTTTATTAACATGAAAAATGACGAGTAATTCAAAAAATAGGTTATTTTTGCATTTTATTGCCTTTTTAGCGAAATCGTCACGCTGACGCGTGACTCTCTTATAGAGAAAGAGCACGTGCTATATCCATGTTATTTGGACGTACCGGTAAAGTGCAGTTGTCCCACCTTCAATATTGTGATGATGCAATCGTCTGTCAAATCAGCTTCAGGATCAATCGCCAGTCTTATCAGCTTCGGGCTCTTTGGACTGAAAAAAAAACAGCACTGTGACACTGAACTCAAGTTGCCGAATGCATCTATAGGCCATAATAACAAACATTTGTCATTAAGTTTAAGAAGTAATCCGGACTTGATAACGATCTCAACATACATAACGACATACAAGGTTTCTACTTTCACTTTCATATCAGTACGTAACAAAACGAAAACAAATTCAAGTTTTAAAAAGTAGTAATGCCTTTAGCCTAACATGTAGGCCTAATGTTTACATTCATTCAGAAACAAATTTTATCCAAACTTACTTACAGATCACGAACGTTAGGTTTACGAAATGCATTGATTTAACATATTACATGCATGATGCAAGTGATAAGAGTATATATCGATAGAGAGTTCATACGCACCTGTAACAATAATGAAATTATATTTAAACAATATGAATCAAAAGTCTTTAAAATATTATTGTTAGGAGATTACTTGCCTTTTCCAAACACCCAACACGTCTGCTGCAACAGTGACGTCAAAATTGACGTATATTTTCATCCGATAAAAGACAAAACCGGCCCGGAGAAAAATACGGAATTATTTTAATTTTACTTAGCCAAACCCAAAAGATTTAAAATGAAAAGCAAATTAATTTATTCTTTATCTATTTTGTCTGGGAAATGCATTATAACAGAAAAAAAAATTATGAAAGGTTTTTTTAGAAGGAAGGGGGGGGGGGGGGGTAAACAGAGTAGAAATTTACATATAATTATTAACAAATTCTTTTGAATTAGGCTAATGTACATTTAAATTCATCTTTTGATATATATAATTGAAATTGCAATTTTACTTCAATATAACAAGGAAAGATAAGTGAACACTGTTTCATATGATTCTCATATGATCACCGTTTCATATGATTCTCATATGATCACAGTCAAAACATTCGTATGAATTTTACCTGAGTATAACAAGGACAAATTAGTGAACATTGTTTCATATGATTCTCATATGTTCAGTTTCATATGATTCTCATATGATTATTGTCAGAATATTCATATGATTCTCATATGCAGGATCTTTCATATGAGAATCATATGTATATTACTTCATATGATTCACATATGTATGATCATATGATTCTCATATGATTGGCCACATATGATTCTCATATGATTGTATATACATATGAGTATCATATGATCCACATATGATCTTCATATGAAAGGCAATGCATATGTGGATCATATGTGGCTAAATTGCCTATGTAGCTATCTGACTTTGAACACAAGCATACACATTATATTCTTATGCCTTAAAAACTCTCAACTCTTGTGTGCAAAAAATGAAGAAAACACTTAATGTTCTGCCTTTCAAATGAACATTTTGATATATCAATGACGCATTATTAACAGTAGTTACTGTATAACAAATTAGAATGATGGTTGGAAAAAATTGCGATTTGTTCAATTTTCAGCAAATCGCCTTCTTTTGAATTTGCGCATGGGAAACGTTTTTTTAAGTATATATTGTTTCGATTTTGAGCCCGGTTAAACAAAAACGAAATACCGGACTCATCCAGATTCAAGGTGAAAACAAAGTAACGCATTCAGATTTGTTTTCCAGAACAGAAAAAATTGTTTGTACCGTTCTCAAATTGTTTATTATATAAAGGAAATTAATTAATTGAACTTATCCTGTTTAGTACATAAGTGCCTCGATTAAAGTTTATGACTGAACGCAGGGGTAAAATTTAACAAGCATGGTTTTTTTTAAGATAATTACATCATACCTCTCCTGGATGGCAAAATTTATTGTTAGCTATAGAAATTAATGTAACAACAAATATACACATTTGTGGTATCTCTCCATTATATAAACATACAGAGAGAATATATCTTCAATTCTGTATGAAGTTTGTCAGAGGTCAGAGGTCAATACGTGACCTAATCACACGGCGCAATAACATCTACCGGTACATAAATTATAAAATGACCAGCTTTTCATGTATAAAATTGAACAAAATAAGCAAGTAAAATAATAATTATATCATTTACAATGTAAACAAGTATTTCATACAGTTTTTGGCTATCGATTCAACCTGTGTATATAGAGAAAACTGGCGATTGTTTACATTTTTCGTCACTTTTGTCAGCTGCACAGTCTCTAACGTTCATCCTTATTTTTTGGTTAACGTTAAACCTTTGGTTAAATTTTCATAATAAACTATTACTCTACCTTTAAATTCTACTCACGATAAATGTTTAAATCTGTCGGAAAATATCATTGCAATCATGCCATGAACAGCTGCCAAACACCTCGGCGTTTTCGTAGTTCAATGTAAAGCTGTCGCCAGTGTCTCCGTGTTTATCAGTGTTTTACGATAAGTATGCCTTTAGTTATTGAAATTGTAGAATGTTTTTGATCAAATTGCAAATTAACTGGCTCGGACAAGTGTCTCAATCCATCGGATCCACCCATCCCTTTTCGGCGACCGAAATTCCTCACCCAACTTTTTATCATCAAACTTCTGACGTGTTTCTTGTGTCTTTTCAGCATCGATTATCAATTTTCACGAATAACAATCTTCCCAGACAACAATCTGCTCACTATTACTGATCACAAGTAGCCTTTCACAAAATATTCCCTTCGAAATAGATTCCTTAGCCTAATGAATTCGAAGCGTAACCGCCATGCAAGCCGATTTACACCTTGCGTCATTTTTCAAAATCTACGACGGACAGTTAGTGCAATAATTTAAATTCGAAAATATTCAATTGTCTGTCTCAAATGTATATATAAGTAATAAAAAACAAGTTTTTAAACTTCAATGGGAATTGAAGTGGGTCGGTACATGATTAAATCTTCTGAGAAGGCCTTCGGCCTTCACAGGATTTGATCACGTGACCGACCCACTTCAATTCCCATTGAAGTTTATAAACTTGTTATTTATTTCTTAATTAAAAAGGATTAAAAACTTCAACAACCACGTGTTTGTGATTGATCCATACACCCGCATAAGAAGGAAGACGGTCTACATCTCCGCTATATGTTTACTGCTTATGAGTTTGTACGGAAAGACAAACAAATTACAGACAACAGTACGAGGGGTTATCAAAACCTTCTGGGACTAGCGTCATAAAATTAAAACCACTTTAAGCACATCAATGAATTTTAAAAATATCTAGTAAGCATCATCTTTTCTATCTAAAGAATTAACCATAAACCATAAATTTTATTTTCTAATAAATTAGTGATGTTTTTGTAAGCAATGGTATGTCCAGGCGGCGCAACCTCGAACACGACGTTTTTGCGACCTATGTGTAACTGAGAAAAACTCTTTTGATATGATCATTTGACATCCAAAAATCCCGTTTAAACAGGAATATGTCTTGACACAATTGTTCCATAAAATACGAAATTTTCACTTCATTCTGGAAGTTTATGAAATTTTATCGCAAATTTTACAAGGAATATCCAAACAAATGAGGCCTTGAAAATGACGTCGAAAAGGGGGAGGGATTTCCGTTTCCAACATTCTATAAAGTTTTGCCTCTGAAAAAAAACTGGAATAGACCTAAAATATGTTGAAACTGGCTACAGAGAAATAAAATACATCCAGAGTACTTGTCTTTTAATGTCAAAATAGATCCAGAGAGAAAAGGGATACACAGTTAATGTCGATGTGCAGTCAAGGTGTGAAAAATCAATCACGTCAAAAAATGACGTTGATCATGCGTTGTAGATATTGAACTCCCAAAAGCAAAATATGCCGGCACAATCAAGCGCGGATCTCTCCTAATATATTACATGTAATCCGTTTGGAATATTACATTCATTGAAGGCCACTGTACATGACATTGTAAAGTCATATAAACAAGGCAGGTTTAAGTCCTTTCTTAGCTCCAGGGTTTCTCATCAAGAAAGTGTATGAGGTAGAAGAAGCGGGCAATGAAAAAAACAATGACGTTATCGGACGTCATGAAAATAAACGACGACAGCGACGGGTGATCATATATTGTCGTTTTCATTTTATAATAATTTGGAAAATATTGAACGTATCAGGCTATAATTTTCAACATTTCTTTATTTTTTTTATGTTCCATATAAATTTTGAAAGCACAGACTACATAGCACTAATTTTATAGCCTCAGTCCACGAACTTTTTGATAACCTCTCGTAATACATCAATTTTATCAAAATGAATCGTTTAAAGAATTATTCACTGTATGTTGAATTCGCAGACTTTCTTTAACCGCGAAAATAGCGAGTAGGAACTACGCGAGTTAATTTTTTGCCGTATAGTATCTATCTTTTTATTCATATGTCGACACGATGTATACCTGTAAGCTTGAAATTAACGATATCACAGAGTCTTACATATCTGTTTCATAATTGGATATGTTACTAGAAGAAGACTTCATTGGAAACTTTACAACAAAGTTTTTAATAAACCTATTGACTTTAACTTTTCAATCCTCAACTCGTCTTACCAATGCAGCAATATCCCCTTATTGCCTGCATATAGGGTTTATCTCTCTCAGAAGATTCGACACACAAGTGTGTGTTCTAAGATGAACAATGTTTACATGTTAAACGAAGTTATTGACAAACAAGATGGTAAAACATGAGTCTCAATTAAAATCAAAATTTGGTACGTTCTATAAGCAATACGATGATATTGTCAGGAAATACAATTTATTATTAAATTGATTGCAGAATGATGACTTTCGTACTTATTGTTAGTCCATTATTTACACAGCGAATTATCAGCGGATGTTTCCTTCATTTCCCAACCATGACAAGGAGCACAAGCCAGATGTGACTGATAGGCAGAGAATGCTAACTCCTGCATGCCACCAAATCACACCTGTGATGTTTTGGAGGTCCATGTTTTTTCTGCATCTGATCTGTATTGCTTGAAAGGACTTTTTAGCTTCAATGCTGTTCGTTATCGCCATATGTTTCATTCAAGTAATGTTATGTGCAATTATTTTACCACAGGTAAACATATAAAATCCTTTTTAGTTATAAATTGGATTAATTTTTTAATTCAGAACAGATGAATAAATAAATATTGGTATTTTTTTTTTAAATTCCTATTTAAATTTCATTTTTTATTTTGTTTTAGCTTTTGGAGTAGAGGAATCATCGCTCATTAAATAGATTTGAAAATTGAAGATTTTCCATTAATTATCATACATGTTTATAAAATCATAGTAAGCAAAGAAATAATTGGCTACACACAAGTTTTATTTATATCTTAAATAATGCTGTAGGAGGTGACACTTTCATTTTCCGGAACATATTACTATAAATTTGTATCCAAGCATTTCCAAAAGAGATTTCGTCCTTAGTTGACTAAACTAGATAACTAAGTTTGGATTGCAACCTGGATACAAAATTGTCATAAAATCTTATTTAAAAATATGAACTGGCAACTTTGGCTTCGTCTCTGCTCTTCAATTCTGTATGGTATATCATAGATTTGGTTTTCTTCTGTCTTTGTATGGCATCATCTTCATTATTTGTAGAAGGCAGGAAACCTTCATTTTGTTCTTTTGATTTCTTTTCATTAGAATATTCTATTGAGTCAAAGCAATGATAAAGAGGATTGTTCGGAAGTCCAACTTCATGAACTTTACTCTTCTTCCAGCCATAATGATTTTCTTGACGATATTTTTTACGTCTAAAAAAACGCAATGGGAATTTGAAAATTCTAAATAATACATTATACTGAATACGATGTTCAAAGTATAAATTGTATTGACTTCGGTGACAAAAAAAGCGAGAGAGAGAGAGAGAGAGAGAGAGAGAGAGAGAGAGAGAGAGAGAGAGAGAGAGAGAGAGAGAGAGAGAACGAGAGAGAGAGCATACCTTAAAAGCCAAGTAATCAGACAAATTATGCCTATAAATATTACAATAGCGGCTCCAGAGATTCCGTATGTACTGTCTAAGAAAAAAAAAAGAAATAGAAAAAAAATCAACATGAACTTTTATATAAAGAGAAGTACGTTAAATCTTTTTGATATTTAAGATGTTAAATAAATTAATGTCTTGCAATCATTCAGTAGAATATTATTGAAAGATGTTTCAGTAAGCATCGTTGGATAACTAGAGAGGAAAAATACACTTTGCATTTCAATAAATAAGTGAAATTGTATCATTTATTTAAATATAATTCTTGCACACACAAATGCACACAAGTTTTATAAGATGATTCAAGTTATCTTTATAATGTTAAAACATCTTAAATGAAGCACTATATAAGCACCTTTGATCATTTGGTTTGAACTTATGTTGTTGATTTCTATATTGGTTTTATATGTTGAAATTTCTAAGGTATTGTCAGTAAAGAGTGTCTCAATATAGACATCTGTTTTCGTGTAGTGTTCTTGGATACTGGTATCATTTGCAATAGGCCTTGACGGGAAATCATTGTGCATTGTTGCATTGATAACGCCTTTTGTAATATTGTCCATTTGGATATTGATATCCTCAGTAAAAGTGTTCCGAGTGGTATCATCGGAGGATAATTCAACGTTGGCATCTGTTCTTGTAGAGTCGGTTTGAATATTGGTCACATTTTTAGCAATTTTGGAGGTTGAATCATTGGTAGAAATCTGAGCATGACTATCAGCTGCAAAATGATTGTGGTTTGTTTTGATTTATTTTGCTATTAATAGTTTATCGTACGTTCAAAACAAGTTAAAGGCTCTTGTTTGAAACTTTAATGAAAAACTGACATGTAAAAGAAATGCAACAAATTCTAAACAACAAATATCTGAATTTTTATCTAATTACTTTTAAAAATGATTTAAGGACATATGATACAAAGAATAGTGGATGCCTGGATCGGTATATATGTATAGGCCTTATTTCATTGAAAATGATACAAATAATAAATTTTTAGAATATGAAGAAATTGTAAACATTCTATGGCGTTCAAAATTCTGCCTTTCAGAAACCATCCTTATAAATCTATACAAATATTTTTACTTAAACTCTCATTTTAGTGAAAATGTGAATTAAAAAACTACACGTAAAACCTATTCATTCATTCAACACATTAAAACATGGCCTTAGTTGTTATTTTCAGCTTTTTTTGTTTGTATCAACTGTTCGTTTAAACATCATCGATTTGATAAAAATGCATCGTCAGAAACCCATGGGTGATCTCGTCTTTACTTACATGTACATGTATCACACGTGGGCAAACTCGCCGAAAAATCGTCGTACATGTATTTAATTAAATATGCGGGGGTCATTTGATTGGCTGATTCACAGAGTGGCGATGCCAAACGACGAATTGCAGCTCACGCTACGTATGCATATTCGGCATTGCCAAAAACATGAAAAACTCATTCCGCTAACACAGCTGATATATCCGCTCACCGGTGCATTTTGCAGTTAGAAAGGGGTACATGTACTCCTATATAAATTTGACGGTTATTAATGTCAGTGACCTTTACGAATTAACATTCATTGTTTTATATCAAACTTCGCACATTTTAACAAGTGTCAATAAATTTACCATAAATAGCAAAGTAATAAACGTGTTTTTCAAAATTGGAGAGTTCCAACTTTCTCATTGGTTGACTAAAAACAACAAATTATCATATTTTACGGTGATATTTCAGCTAGTTCGTAAAGTCGAGATCATCCATGCGTTTCCGACGATGATAAAAACATTGAATGCAATCCTTTAACATCTGAAAGTAAAAGATAACTGTTAAAAATATGAGGAAGGAAATCAAAAGAGGTATTCATCGGAAACATTGATGTATTTCTTTTGACAACCAAATGAAAACATTGGAAAAACCCCATTTTTATTTCTGGGAAGCAGAAATTTAAATAAAGAATTTAAAGAAATAAAATATATCTATTTGAAATTCATAGCAAAATGCTTTATTTACTAAAAGGGAAAACCTTTACCATATTCAATTATATTAAACTTTTTTAATTTTTTGTTAAGGAAATCTATCATTAAGAAATAAATCATTACGAAATAAATCGAATAAAAATAAATATTACCTTTACTATTAAATGAAAACAGAAAATCAGAAGTGAAATGAAATTATCATATCTTTATATAAAGAAAAAGAATCATTACATAGTCATATCTATTGTATTAATTTGCTTAATTATCACAATTATTAGTAATATTATTATATTATTAGTAATATCAGTTAAGTGTAAAATTTTGTATTACGTCACGATTTTTGTCGACAGATTCATCCAGCGTAAACAATTCACGCATCCTTTCTTATAGAAACCTGTTTCTGAAAAAGCTTTAGATAAGTTTGACTGAAAACAGTGATCAATCAAAATTAGAAGAACTTATCCTTTTCTGCACCTTTAACAAACTGTGTAGTATTTTTGGGATGTTTGCTGATATCAGATATTATATTATGTGAGTGACCGTTCGGCAGGGGATTTTCATTCATGCATGGCACCTGATCCCACCTCTGATATTTTGGAGCTATGTGTTTGCTCTGCTCCTATTTTGAATTGTTTTATGCATTTCGAACTTTACTGTTCGTTATCATCATATGTTTCATTTTATTACAAGATATTGATCACTCACCTTTAAGGTTATAACAAGATATTGACCACTCACCTTTAAGGTTAAATCCAACAGCACTAATCAAAAGAAAGACTATAATGAAAGACATACTGCGTGATTTGCTACTAGATTAGCTTTCAAACACACAAAAACGAGATGTTGATGATTGATTTTTTTTTGGGTCTACAATGAAAGTTGTTTCCAGTTGGTCTTTTATTTTCTTGAAATATTTACATTATTACAGTGTTTTCTGTTATTCTAACTTCTCGAAGAATCCTTGTACTTAAAATGTGATATCTTATAATATTGTGGTATTTTTTATTCACGTTTCCTGTGAATGTATCTTAAACATGGATATAGCTGCTGAATGTTTCACACTTCACACAGGAAACTAATATCATTATTTTTTTTTATCAATTTACTCTACATCCTGCTGGTAACAAGGATGCAATATACAAACAAGTTTTCGTGGAAAAAACAGAATCACCGCGTAACTATACAGTATATCACATTAAAATATTTGGATGTGTATGTGCGGTGGTTGTTACTGAGGATGTTTTTGTAAGTTAGTTTCATCTTTAAAAATAAATAAAAAAAAACGCCAGGTTCTGTTTGAAAATAGTGCTGTCCCCTCAAAATAAACAAAACAAGCTCATGATCAAACTCAATTTTAAAAACATTTTCGACACTTTACATATACATATGCTTAGAAAATATATATCAAAATAAATACTTTGACAAACATAGAGAGTTTAATATATTTTTTGATATTATGTTTGTAATTAACAAGTTTTCCGTTATTTGTTCGACAAAAGATGTACATATTTCACATCATCGTCCGACTGGCGCAGTAATTAGTTGCTTTGATGTCGCTGAGCAAGGAGCTAGTCCTTACGTAGCGGTACCGAATGCCCTGCGGATTGTAGAGATCCAATCCTTCAGTTGAGACTATATGAACCAAGTCGCAGATACTGGCAAGAAAAAGAACACCCACTACTCAATGGCTCTGTGTGCCGAGCATAGGTAGAAATATACAGCTCTCCAGCGGCAAGTAAATGAGTATCTATAAGAGTGAGACATTCTCGGAAGGGACGTTAAACAACAAACAATCAAACATTATTCGTCTCATACGTTTGCCTTTCTATTTTTTATCTTTACTTACTTCGTGTTCTGTTCTTTAGAAGAAATATGACATAAGTCGATCTGTCCCCAGGAATAACACTACTAAGTATCTTTGATGTTACACAACCTACGTGCACTGATATAGGCCATCTTACATCTTTGATATCGAATACTGTTCGTTATCTCCATATCCTTCATGTATAATGCATCATTTTTCGTTTAAATATCTAGCTGCGTATCATTTTGAGATGCGTAAAAGGAGAATTGCATCAAGGGATTTATGTGTATGTTTACTGTTACTTTTAAAAGAATAAAATGAAACTTTTACACGGGATCACTGGATCATGCTGATTAGCATACGAATTTACTGCTTCATCATTCTGTTGATGAATAGCATATATAACTTCGACTATTTAAAAATTTCCAGTTATTTAATCTTCTTCCCTCTTCTTTTCTTAGAAAATCATTTTGATTACTACATGTATTTTCTTTTGTTTAAGCATATTTTCCACATTTTCATCTTCTTTCACTTGATATCTTTATTTGCCCATTTCCTTCGTCTGTGTTAACTTTATTTCCTTCTTTATTTGAATACATGCCAAAAACTGAATATCGTGTAAAAGATAAAAACAAAAGATCGTGTAAAAGATTTTTAACTTATTTTTTTCGTCCTTTCAAGGCTTTTCCTTTACCTTAAATTTGACATAATTTCTCCTTAAATTGAAATAACCAACAGTCACATCTTGAAAGTTTTGTTTATTTTTTTTTTAATTGCATGTTTGAACATGAAAATTGCAGTTATTTCAATGAACTTCATAGTGGGAATCATCAGTATACATTGTGTTTATTAGTTATAGATAATCACACAAGAACTGCTAGATTTAGCACAATCCTCTGTTTGCTTATTTTGCTTAACGAATCTAATCAGAGAGTCTCAAAATTTCATCTGTACAGACGTAATTAAGGATATCCGATTATCAGCCAGGAAGGATAACTCCAAAAATGAATATTTCATTTGAAAAACATCAAAATGAAGCTTAAAAATCAAATTTTTTCATGCAACAATTTTCATTTTATTCATCTTTATAAGATTCAAGGTTTTTGGAAGTCTTAGAAAAATTCTTTAAAAAGTTGATATTTGTACCCTATAAAAGGAAAAAAAATCGAGCCCTAGATACCAACGTTTAAAAGCATGGGATATGAAATGAAAAGTGATTTGTCGCAGTTCATTAAATCTTTCATTTTTTTCATATTTTTCTTATCTTTTTACTACTCTAAATTTAATTATCTTTATCAAGACATGTTATATTATATTACTACTATAATGTATTTTGTACTGATTCGGATATTATTGAGATCTTTGGGAAAAAAGTATGTGCAGTTAAACGATCAGCTGCAGGTATGGAAACTATGCAAAATCATAAATGCACAATGTCCATGCAATAAAGGGGTATTGAAGTATCGATGAGGTTATCATTCAAAATATTTATTCTTACATTCTTATAAAGCTACAACCATTTGAAAACTTTTGTCCTTTGTATGTGTAGAAAATTCCAGCATCTTGCACACTTTAATCCCTTTTTAGACATTTTCTTGTCTGCATACATAATTTTTACGTAGTGCAGTGCTCCATGACGCTCAACGTCGTTCCGCGATTTTTGGCTGTGTTTATATGCGTTGATCATTTATTAATGGCTATAAAACAGCCATATACCCTCCAATTTGATCCAAAATTTCTCCCAGTGATCTCCACAGATCTCTTTGCGCTACAATTGTGCAATTTTTAATTTTATAAAGAGTCTAGGTTACGTAAAAATGTAGCATGCTCCGTGAAGCAAGATTTATCCAAATAAAACAGCTGTATATTTTTCAATGAGCACCTGAGAGCACCAAAGGTTTGTATATTTATTAAAAAATAGGTTAAGATTTTATCTGAAAAGTTTGATTGGTTTAGTGAAAATAGCGCACTCACAATAGAACTTGTCCGCGAACTTTTCTAACATCCCTCGTAGAAATTCTCGTTGAATTGTAATACATGTCCGCAATTCATTTCTATCTTTCTGATTGTTTCTAGAACTCATTTTCGAGTATGACCCTTCGTATATGGCAAATCCTATAATTTCCTGGAATTGTTCCTTCTTTTTGAAAGGTGTTTTTGTAAGTTTGGAAAATGAACCGAGTCAAAGGGTGACGGATCTGGCGAATATTATTAATTGAATATTGCAGCTCATGATATTTTTGCTTTTGCTTTCTCTGCCTTTTCAAAACCATTATACTGAAACTGTCTTCCAGCCAGCTCTGAGAATTGAAACACGAATTATTACTTTACTAATTGAGAAATAACATCATAATAATACAACACATACAATGTTTGATGGTAATTGCCGCAAATTTTGTAGGGGTCAAGGAGGAAAACTAGGATACCATAAACAAACGGACAAACATGCGGCCTCGCTTAGATGCAAATGCCTTAAACCCCATGCCTGACACGCATGATGACTAAGCACACAAGTTGCACAGCTTTTACACCCTGTCTCTGGCTTGCTACCTGGTTAAGATTTTTAACACCAACCAGCCTGTACAAATGAAGCCTCTCCTTCTTTTACATGTATATAGGTAGACAATAATCTATATTGTGTGACATAATATTACCTTTAGGTTTGTCCTCAAAACTCTTTTACTCTTCATGGTGTGTGGGTTTGAACGCTGTCATGAAGCAATTAAATATGGTCTAAACAAGCAAATTCAAAAAATTGTGGTCCCCCGCTTTCGGTGTCTTTTTGGGTGAGATTTCATTTTTTAGGACATTTTGTGTCTGATATGATCGCCCTATCATAAGTCTTCTATTTAGAAATTATCACTGAACTCCAAGATCAAAGGGTTAACGTTCTTGTTATCCAATGAAAAGTCTTCTCAAAAGGATTACATATGTGAAGTATAAAAGCCCTAGCCCTTACCATTCAAAAGTTATGGTCAAGGTTAAAGTTTTCTCATAACTAAAAAGAATATCCAATCTCAAGGTCAGAGGGTCAAGATTGTTAGTATCAAATGAAAGGTCTTGCCACAAGAAATACATATGTGAAATATGAAAGTCCTGGTTCTACTGTTCAAAAGTTGTGGCCAAAGTTAAATTTATTGAAAAGTAGGTCAAACTCCAAGGTCAAGGTCAAAAGGTCAAATTAGTGGTACCCAAAGAAAGGTCTTGTCATAAGGAATACACATATGAAATATGAAGTCATAGTTCCACTGAATCAAAAGGTATGGGCAATGTTAAAGTTTTAATAACGGACGGACAGACTGACGGATAGACAGACGGACAGACGAATGAGATTTAATGTCCCCTCGCTTTCGAGAAAACAGAGGACAAAAATAAACTATGAATTATTTGTCACATTACATAAATAAACATTTAACTGGGCCATAATAAATATGACCATCCTATCAAATAAACAGACAAAACAGGTTTTGACAGCTTTGATATTGTTGAAGAGATAAATTGCAAAACATTGTATTTAATCGATAACAATAATAAAATTATTAAGGTACATAATAATGTTCAATTACCAATTATTTTTTTTGGTGTTTGTCGAGGTTTGACAATAAAAATATTACATGCTCTCTTCGTAGATATTTTGATAATTTATTTTCTTACAACTCATGTCTTTGTTTCATTGAGAAAAATAAAATAAAATAAAAATATCTCCCTTTATCTGTATTTTGAATAAATGCTACAGAAAAAATAGATCCTGTTTTGTTAATCGAAGTCCCATAAGTTTTGATTTAAAGATCCATTTTTAAAAACAAAAAATGACATTACTATAATACAATTTAAAATTCATAATTAAAATCCTTTGCTAAACCAGATTAAAACTTTTGGTTCATTGAAGTGAAAACATTGACACTATAGATAAGGACTATATACATGTATTCAGAAATGACCAATGTTTATCCCGAAAATCAATTAATGACGTAGAAATATATATTAATGTTCGTATACAGAAGGATACATGCAGACAGCAAGGCACATAATATTTTCATAAACAATGGGATCATGAGATATAACGTCAGAAAATTATGCACATTCAAAAATACCATGATTTATTTAAAAGAATGGCTGATATTATGTCTACATCTTTTGTAAAAATCATTAAGCGAAGTTTGCGCTAAATATTGAGAATAAACTGTAGAATAACAACATCAAAGAAAAAAGTAAATTTTGTTCTGAAGCAGGCCTACAATTTATATTTTTTTTAAAAATAAATATTGAATAAATTCTGTCCCTTTTTTCTCTTACTGAAAATAACAATATCCAAATTGTTTGTGACGGCATTGAAACAAAAATTGCGTACAACTTACTTTGAAACAATATTTTTTCTAACTTTTAATCTAAAATACAGTAAATGCAATTCAACACATCTAATCAAATATTTAACATAAGACTTTTAAAATCATATACCCCGGTACAACATACACTTCTATAGAACCATTTATTTATTATCTTATGATTAGAACAAAACCCGGACGACCATAAGTTCGTGTCACTAAATGTTGTATTACTTTCTAATCTATGAAATCGCCAAAGGTGATGTAGTATCAGTGGACAGTGCATTTTGTATCGAATCACAAAAGAGATAAAACACTCCGTAGCCTAGAAAGATTTTTTAACACAATTTCAAAATACAGTAAAGAATATTACTAGTGGGTTTATTCGTTATAATGGACTATTTGACTTTTTTTTTTAATTTTGTTTTTTTTTCTTTGTTTAGTTTTGAAGAGGAATGTAAATATGTTGGTCGTTGTCTACAGCTTGATATGACTGATATGGAGGATTATCTAGAGGTCCCTCATAAGTATCATTGTTTGGCTGTCCAGCGTTCGTATCATCGTTTGGTCCAGTTTTCTGTTTTGTTTTCCTGGAAGGTAGAACTGATGCAAATATATGGTTTAAGACAGATAATAGACTTCATGTATAATTTTTAAATAATTAAATCAAAGTTCATACCTCATATGACGAATAACAATGGAGATACGAGGGTCATTCAAAAAGTTCGTAGACTTTTGTCATAACTTTTTTATTTTACGTCAAAATTAAACCAAATTTGGTACATATATTTTTACAGCAGATTCAAATATTTTGAGCAAAGAAATTGGAATATATGTTGATTTTTGTCAAAATTATCAAAGATTTAAGACAGCAAAAACGGGGTCACGGAGCAGGGTCAAAATTGAGTTATTGACTGATTATTCACATTTCATATCTATAGCCATATCTCTTTAAAATTGCCCTTAACTGAAATAAAATTTAAATGCTTAAATTTAGTATTGTTTCATTTCTTCAAAAGCTAAAAGTTAATGTAATACATTGCTTTGTTTAAAAGATATAATTTTCTATAGACAGAAAGTCTTGATTGTAAAAAATCATGACATAAGACGAAACAATAAAGTTGCACAGCTCCGAAAATGCTGAAGAAACCAGGAAAAATACATAAAATTGTATTTGTTTATAATGGAACAGACAAAAAACTTTAAATTGGGCGATTTTAAAAAAATGTAATAGTTCAAAATCTTGTCAAAATAGTTAATAACGTCATGAAACGTAATGTGCGCTTCACTGCATCACTGTTGCGGAACCTGTAAGAGCAGAGTTACATGGTAAAGGATTTGAAAACTTTGACAATCTTATTTAAGATATACTCAAATCATTGTTAGCATACTAGGAGTCAAGTGTTATGGATACGTTTTAATGAATGAGGAATACGATACAAACCGTGTATAAAATGAAAAGGCACTGTGAGTTTGAGAAATTTTCTTTAACGTTGTTTTTTGATGTTACAATGTTTTTGACCTTGCTCCGTGGTGACAAAACATGCTGCTTTTAAAACTGGCTAACATGAGTTCCGTTTAATCAAATAGAATGAAACTTCAGAAATCTATAAAATATATCTTTTTACATATAAAAATGTACTGATATTAAACTTTGTGAAAATAATGTGATAATGAGGAACATTTTCTACGTATTTTTTGAATGACCCTCGTAATAACTGTTAATAAAACTCCAACTGCGGCTCCAGAAAAACCAGATATTATTGCTGACATAAGACAAACATAAAGTTACAAAAACATTGTTGTGATAAATAAAAAAACGTTTTAAAAAAATGTTTTAATAGCAGATTTGAATCTGCCGATTTGAATAAAAAGTTCACAAAAAGCATAATAATAATAACAATACTTTTACTACCAGATTTATTTACAAAATTATATACTTCAGGAAAATAAAGGCTGTATTTACCTCTTGGAAATATCAAATTAAACTTTATATGAAAATATCAACTCAAACATTATAAACATTTAAATAATTTTATTTTTTATTGTTCTAAAAAAGGAAAAGGAAAAGAAGAAATTTAAAGAAAAAAATGTATGCATACAATTTGTAGACGAACATGTAGGTGAAGGACTTGAGGTTCTGTTTTCAGTTTGGACATCTTTTGTTAATTTTTGTGAGGAGACGGTTATTTTGGAAAACGTATCTATGATAACTTTGATCTTTGTATTCGGGTTTAAAGTTGAAATACTGGTCCCACAAATGACTGAGATGTTGCCATTGAAAGATGTATCTGTGAAAAAAAATACAAAACAAATTTAGCCTTTCCAAAAACTCCATAACTACATGATTACACGGTTAAAAGAAGATGCATTTGTGTAACACTGATGCCCTCGTATTGCAGTCAATGGACCTGGTCTAGATTTCTCAAATATAAGTAGACAAAGAAAGGACCTATCACAAAAACACATTTTGAATTAAGAAAATCTCAGATCTAATTGTTCAAAAGATATAACCATGGTTAATGTGTATGATAAGTTATTTAAACTTTGAAGTAAAATATCCAAGAACATTTATATAAAAAAAGGACTTTTATCTATGAAGACAAATTTTAAGTTTAAAATTCTTTGCCCCATCAGTACCAAATAAATGACAAAGATTAAAATAAACAGTTAATTGAATGGCAATAATAAGCTATTCGATAGCCGATATTACTAATTATTATTAAAAGACAGACGTATAGAGTGACATGTGAATTTTTAAAGTTTGTCTTATGCTACTGTTCAAAAAAAAATTTGACAGAGGGCTTAATTATGAAATGAGTGAAAGTATAATGGTACCAAGAATTCTTAGAGAAAGTGGAGTTGGTGAAAGTGTTTGCGAATCTCAAATATTTTTTAATGAAACGAAGGGAGGGGAAACGCTTAAAAGTATGACGGTGCGTATCCGTCATATGCATATGACGTTATATTTAGGTGCGGCGACTACCATAAACGCACATTGTTTAAAACCCGAATTTTTGGGGAGTATATATCATATTCCTTTGAAATTTTCAGGTCTGATTTGAAATAAATAAAGCTTCCATCATATTAAATTTTATTGTTTTAAGTTGATTTATAGCAATTTTATCAAAGTTGTGACATCACTTTTGGATCAAACCTCGTATGTCGTTTATGAAGAGTATGGCAACCAACCTTCTTCCCTTCCCTTCCCAATTTGACCAACCCTTGCCAATGTTTTTTTTCTGGAATGTGTTTGTCTCCTTTTTGATTCTTTTGTGTATTGTGTAATAGATTTTTGAACTTGAATTCTGTTCATTATCTCCTTATTCTTCCATTTCTAACTTTTCTCTCTGTTATAACTCTTTGAAAGTTAGCGGAGTTAATTTCTTGATGTAAATTAGGCAGGTCAATAAGTCAGGAGCTAAGAAGGACAATATGCATTCTAATCTCGAGCGCATCTTTCTCTGAGTCGAGTCTGACGCTAAGGAGGCCAAATATGCATGTAAATTTTGTGCGGCTGCCATTTTGTTTGACGTCAGGGGGCCAGGACGATTGAAATTGGATGGGATTTATCGTGTAATTTAAATCTATGTCTGCATTTTTAAGTCTAAATATACAATTTTATTTCACAATGAAATAAGAATATAAGGAATCACTGTCTAGTTAGTATAGTATACCAGGGATCAACAATAGTGGGAACCATGGGATATTTTGCATAACGGACAAAATATCTCGTCCCCCTTGTGGTGCAATGATTAGCGAAGTACGGAGTTGATCCTTACGTTGCGGGTTAGAATCCCACTTTGGAAGGTGGAGACCGGTCCTTCGGATGACACCGTATAAACCGAGGTTTCGTGTCACAGTATTGTCATTTACACGACAAATGACCTTCACTGCTCAATAGAGTAAAGTCACGAATATATGTCAAAATTTGCAGCTTTAAAACAACAAGGTATGGCCTCTTTATATGAGTGAAACATTTCAGAGAGGTGTTATATATAATTAATTATAATCCATATATCTCATACTATCTGACGAGGGTTATTTTTTGGGGCTACATTATTCTACCACCAGATATCTCCTGTATTGGTTAAAGACAAGATAGGGTAAGACCAGTATATGGCTCCTGATTTTTGGTGTCTTTCAGAATAATCAAACAGTTTATCCATAAATACCGGTTGTCATCCCAGCCTCAAAATAAGTATTTGTTTTAAGATTTAGAATATACAGGGGTCACAGTTAGGTCAGGAAATAGGTCAATTTTCGACATTTCTCATTTTTATGCAACTTTTCATCAATTTTAAAGCACATTTTCTTTCTGAAAACATAGAGCACACGCTTGCCTATCTACCAAATTTAGATATTTTATACACTGATATCATTTGCAGTTTATGTGTAAAAATCTCAGATAGGCAAGCGTGTGCTCTATGTTTTTCGAAGAGAAATGTATCCCAAATATGATGAAATTCCACCAGAATTGAGGAAATTCTGGAAAATGTCCTATTTCTGCACACTCTAGTGGCTTTCGTGTAAGCTTGGAATCAAAGTTAGTTCTTGTTTTAAAGTAAGCATCATTTTAACTTTTAACTACAAACTATCACAGTTTTACTTATGTTCTGATTTTTACATCAAATAAGGGGCCAGATTCGGCTGTTACCCTATCTTGTCCTTTGAAATGCAAAAGTGTCCACTAACACAATATCCACAACTCCTTCTTATAAATTTTTCTTATCTGCTTTCAATTCCATTCTTCCGTACAAAACTAAGATTTTAATGTCAACAAAAGCTATCAGATATAAAGGACAGAAGTTTTCTCAAAAGTCCTTTCAATATTGACAACATAATAATAAACACATGTACGTAACAGTTAATTTCGTATTTTGTTACCACCAGAAGTAAGCCGACACGTCTCAGTATGAGTGAGAAATTCTTGGATAGACGTTAGCAAAAGCATTCATGTACAAATAAAGACAAAGCTACAAATAAAAATGTGGCAGTTATACTCTAGTAGAACAAAATAAATTTGAGATAATAAACAACATTCATGCATGTTGATCTATATCATCTTAAATTATATTCCTTTTAGTTTCATCTGGCAAATTATCAAAAGGAGATAATTAGGCTGGAATTTGGGGACTAGCTTCTGTTGTTTTTCAGTTAAATCTTTAAATACAATAGATAATTATGCAAAGGAATGCAAAGCATTTATGATAGATATTAGAAACTTTAAACACAAACTTTAGTCAGATCCTACACTCAGACACATATTGTCAAGATAATGTACTATAAAATTGGCATAGTAAAATGCTACAAGCTTTCCTAAAAAAGTGCATGCCATTCACACCATCATAGTTGCATACATGTAATTATACCAGTATTAAATGAAACAGTCTTTCATCTGTGCTCCTTATTTTTTTGACCTCATTTGATGTAATTTTGTCAATAAACTAAAAAAAAAAATGTTTGATTGTATGTCATTTACGTACATGTCAGTGGAGGCCGGAAAACTAGCCTACGACTTTCCAAAAATTGAGTAAGTGCAACATAATTATATACCGACTGAGATACCATGAAGGTTAAGCAGGGTAAATTTACAAAATTTTGTTTGGAAATGGTTTACCTGGACATACCTTCAAAAATTGTAATCTCTTGTTGAAATATTCCATTTGTAGAGTTGACGTATATAGATGTCATATACAAGAGACTTTCATTGGTTACACTGAGTCCGCCAAATTTCCTAGGACCACATGGCAGTCTTAATACTTCATATGGCCTTTTAACATCAAAAATATCTATCTCTGTGTTACACGTTGAATTAATCATATTCGAAGCAAACCTTATAAACCCAACAAAGTGAGGTTTTATCTGACACATACAGTGAATTTTCATTTCACTATATTTTACTCTAACCACTGTGCCGTACTTTAAACTACCATCACACGCTGTTATTTCGACATTTTCGTTAGCTGTAAATAAAAGAGACATATTTAATTTATATCAATGCACTGCAGATCATAATGTTGTTATTATTTGTATGTGGCTCACAAAATTATTCATTTTCTCAAGGTAAATGACAAAAGATATAGATATACAGTAAAGTCAGATAATAACTCTCAATTTATTGTGAGGAGAATAGCAATTTCTTATTACATCTTATGAGTAAGGAGGGTGCTTGAAACAAGTCTTTTATCACAGTATTGTGTATAAATAACATTTATAAATTAAACATTTGTGAAAATTTAATGAAGGTGAATATTTGGACGGAGATCTTTTAGACACCAAAAAAAAGTTTCACTTTCAATGTTTATATTTTTTAAAGAAATCAAACATGATGCTTTATAAATAAAATGACATTAGCTTCTGATATATTGCAATTTATTAAATGCAAATTAATACAGTTGCTTTAAATGACTTTAAGTATAGTAAGTGAAGAAAAAAAATCAAAATAATGGATCTTACAATTTCAAGACTTTAAAGAAAATACTGTAGACGTATTAATACTTCACATTTCTACTAAGGGAAAATACAAAACTGAATAAATGTATCTGAAATGCCAATTTAATGACTTACCGGTAAGTAATCTGCCATTGTCAGACACAAGTAAAATAAATAAAATAAACATTCCGGAAATAGACATTCAATGAAAGCCGGAGTGAAAATATAACATATGCATAAATAGTCAAACAACTGGATGTACATGAATCTTTAGATGTACGTATCTCATACAAGAAAAAAATGTTTTATTTTCTGAGTATTTTCAATATCCGGTTTTCATATCGCTGTAATATACCACATACAATCCATAATAGCTTATTGTAAAGACACCAACACAGGATTAATTGATATTATATTATTTGAATTTTTATTTTGAAAAAAAACTTTTTTCCCCATAATATGTACTTGAAAATTAGTAATAGGAAATTTGCATCATGTTTAAAACCTTATTTTGACTGACTTGCATCTGTGAATTTCTTGTCATAGGTACTTAAATAACGTATGTTGCTATAATCATGTACATGTAATCGCTTTATGTCGGCAAATAAATGTAATGATACTTCATTTAAATACATCAATATTTTTGTTTATGCTCATTTCTTCATTTTCATCTTCTGTCACGTATCTTTATTTGCCATTTTCCTTCGACTGTGTTTATATCCTTCCGCTTGAATAGACACAAAAAAAAATGAAGATCCCGAAGATTTTTCTTACTTCTTTATTCTTCCTTTCAGATCTTTTTTTTCCTTATACTTATACTAAATGCATGTATTTGTTACATTATATAATTTGCGTTTCTCTTTTAAAAAATAACATTTTTAGTATTCCAAGGAAATATTTGCGTATTTAAACATAATAATTTTGTATTTATTTCATTGCTCTTCAAAAATACGATCATCAAATATCTAAATAATGTTAATACTTAAACGTTAACTTTTGAAGTGTAGAAGGAGAGCTAAATCTTTTGAATTCTGAATATCTTGTGTAATTCACAAGAAAACACGCACGTTTTCTACTATGCTCCTGAGTCTAAAAGTTAAAACATCGTGCAAAGAATTACTTTTAAAGTTTTATTTAGTTCATGTATATTGTAATGCTTAATATGAATAAAGTCTGTCAATGAATATGTCCTTGCTTTTTTTTTAACTTAGAAAAAAAAACACACTTAGAAAAGAAAATGGAACAATTGTATTTTTGCGTATTTTTAATCAAAGAAGCGATACACTGCAATTCTAGGCACGAGATCTCCGTCTGGAAAAAGAAATCTGTATGGGAACTATATCTATAAAACTTAATTGATGACATTCGATTGGTTCCTGCTTTTTTATATTGAATTGCTCAGCATAATTAGGTACTCTTCGGTTTCTGTAGATTCGTAATTATTTTTCGTACTAGTATATTTTGGACCATTTGTTTCTTTTGACGTGTTCAGAATTTTCCAGTGGCTGATAAGAATGATAAAGAGGATTGTCTGGAAGTTCAGCATTATACGTGCCATGATAAAGAGGATTGTCCGGAAGTTCAGCACCATACGTGCCATGATAAAGAGGATTGTTCGGAAGTTCAGTACCATACGTGCCATGATAAAGAGGATTGTCCGGAAGTTCAGCATCATACGTGCCATTGTTTTGCTGATCGTGTCGAATGTCCATTACTGATTGTCTTCGCCTAAGCCAAAAAATGAAATGCATGATAAATTTTAAATGCATTGTTTAAAAAATGAATATTATATTTACGATAGACGACGTAGTTTGATAGATTGACTACTTTAAGAGCAAAATAAAGGATTGGATATCTATGTGCGAATTTCTTTTGAGAGAGAGAGAGAAGAGAGAGATGAAGAGAGAGATACATACTTCAAGCGCCAAACCACAACACAAATGATGCCTAGGATAATAATAAAAACAGCAGCTCCGGAGATTCCATATATTAAATCTAAGAGGAAGAAGCAAAGACATGAATGCGTAGTTAATTTATACTTCAACTATGCTATTATAAAAAATATGGATAATTTCAATGCATACAAACAATAAAGATAAAAAGTTCTCTAAAAACAGAACTTTGTTGGTCACGTAATCGAATTTTTGAAGCCATAAGGGATTCTCAGAAGATTTGATCACGCACCATCCAAGTTCATTTCAGTGAACTTTCTGACATTGTGTGTATAATTTATATTTGCATTTGAGACGAATATTCCTATTAAAATTTACACGTTCAAAAGGGCCACCGTATTGCTATGCCATAACGCGCAATGACCCAGGCCTTGTTGGTTTGACAGAGACCTACGTCTCTGGTCTTCAAAGTTTGCCTCTCTCCAACATTTGAAAATATACGTTGATGTTCAGCAGTCCTTTTCATGAATTCATTGTTACAATAAAAATAATGATCGCTACTGAGAATAATCGTATAATTTTTTAAGTTCTTAATATATTTAATATAAAAAACGGTGGTGTTGCCCATTTGAGTAGACAGGCATTCAACGGAATTTCGAGTTAAAAAGGTTAGTGCGATTTTAGGCTACTTATAGTATTCAAAACATTCTTCACACCTAAAGATGATCTCAATTTAACTTTTGTTGATTGAAAAAATGTCCATATGTTTTAATTATTTAAACTTTTTCATCGTTATTAACTTAGAAGTTCCGAAAACAGTTGCCGGGTGACAAAAAATTGTAGAAAAATATTATCTTGCTTCATGATTCGGTCAAGCTTTAACCTCTGACCCCATAATAAATTCATACAGAATTGAACATAATTTCTCTTCACTAAGTTAATCTAAGAAAAAAATGCAAATATAAATACAATGTATTGCAAATTAGATGCAAAGGTTAACACACAGCAAAACATATTTCGTTCTCTGAACTGTCTTCAACGGACCTTGAATTCAGTCAAAAAAACATAAAATTATGATAGGAAACAAAATACAACATAAATATTACATTTACTGATGTGTAATTATATTTTGTAAGTAAATAATGTTATCTGGTTATGTCCAGATACCCACATGTGGTTGCTGAATCTGATTTTACGTTGTTACTAGCTGTACCAGCCTTCGATGTAGTATCTTTGGAGGATGTTTGAACATCAATCTCCGTTTGGATGTAGTCAATTTTGATGGTGGTATCAACTGCAAGCGCTTTCACTGTCAAAAAAATATTGAATAATAATTTTCAAAAATTACGATTACAATTGATATTATTACATTTACATATTAACAATTGCCGGTTGCAGATCATCGTCGCAGACCACTGCCAAAATGTACGATCCTCTCCCATTCTGGCCTCGGCTGAACAAGTGAAAATTCCTTGTACATGTAACTCACTAAAATTTTGACTTATGCAAGTAAAGCAAATTCGGAAGATGAACTTTATCACGACCTTTCAATATCCAATCGCAGTAAAGGAAATATTTCTTGTATACTGTTGACGTCAGTTGTTGATTTCAATTGAGATGGAAACAAAACTTGCCACTGACTGAATATGACTTCACAAAAGAGAGGCGTAAATATTCAAGATATGACACTTTTTGTGATCAAGCAGCCACGGGTAGGAGAGAGCTATATGCGGACTCCGGACCGTGGCTTGAGACGATGGTTGCAGATATTGATATAAATTGGTAATGTCAAGATACTCACATGTGGTCGCTCGGTGTGATTTTGTGTTTTCACTTGCTGTGGTAGCTTTCGAAGTGGTATCGGGTAATGTTGTAAAATCGACCTCCGTTTTCCTGTAGTCATTTTGGATTTTCGTATTAACTGCAAAAGCTTTCATTTTCAAAAAAAACAAAAAAGAAAAAAAAAGAAAAAAAACACAAAACAACCCCCTCCAACCCCCCCCCCCCAAAAAAAAAAAAAATTGAAATTTAAAAGAACACAAAATTTACCATTACATTTGCAAAATTTACAACTATCTTTGAAAGATCAATAATATATTTCGAATACACACGTGTGTACGTCGGGAGTGATTTGGTATTATTCCTTTCCGTTCCAGCTTTTGATGTGGTGCCAGGGGAGGTTTCAAAATTGACTTCTGTTTTCATGTTGTCATTTCGAATTGTGGTATCTACTCCAAGCGTATTCGTATTAATGGAGTCATCTCTGATTACGGTATCGATTGTTAGAGCTTTTGATATTGTTTGAATATAGGGTGTTGGTGTTTTTATGTTGTCCTCTTGAAAATTGATATCTCCCGTAACATTCTTGGAGGGATTACTACCGTGGTGTGTTTTAGCATGGTCATCAGCTGTTATTGTTGTTGGACGTAACGCCGAAAAAGAATTCCCACAAGTTACAGAAATGCTACCTTTATACGATTTTTCTGAAATATAAAAAATTGTAATCTTATCAATTACGAATTACTCTAACCTATGCTCTGAACATTATTCAAAATTGGTTTCAAAGTGCTCATATAAACGGAGTTGCAGTTAAATTATACAGAAATATATTCAATACTGAGTTGTAACCTGACAATAAGATGTAAAGCTTAACAGCGGTATAAAAATTTACGCTGAGATAAAATAAAATGCATGATGAATAATAATGCCTACATGTAACATGGGGGTATATTTTCATTGTTATTTTGGATTTAGAGAAACAATAAACACTCTCATTAAACCCATCATTAAGATTTGTTATCAATGTTGATGCTGCAATGTCACGCCTTAACAAAGATGAACACAACACGGGCTAACTATGACGATAACCGGAGATACGCAAAAGGAGGTTGCAACTGCATTTAGTGTACACCAAACACGTTTGTAGCGGTTAAACGTACGTCTCCACCAGCTAAGAAATTATTTAGCGATTTGTTGAAAAAAAATTAAATCTAAATTCGATAATAATAACTTAATATCAAAATATTTCAAATTATTTAAATTAATTCATCACATCTCGGTATAAGGAACTGAACGATTTTTATTACGAATTAATTTCTTTTACAAAAACTTGATAATAAGTTATATGAAATTCAAAAGTAAAAAAATAAAGGCAATGGAAATTATTTTCATAGATATAATTCGAAATATACTTTTTTCTTTAGTGTATATTTCAGAACAAGTACTCTAAAACAGTGCTTTATTATGACGTAATAATTGACACAAACCTTCAAAAATCTTTATTTCTTGATGAATCAATCCTGACGTTGAGTTGATATACTTAGGAACCATAACAAGGATACTGCTCGTAGAAACATTGAATGTAATAGAAGTCCTCTTTTTACCAGATATACAGGGCAGTACTGACGAATTACTCACATTTTCCTTTTCAGAAATACTTATTTCTGAAGAACATTCATTGGATTCCTTCCGTGTAGAGGTAAATTGTAAAATCCCCGTGAAATGAGTCTCTATGTCACACGTGCATTGTAAATTAATTTCCTGATAATTAACTATCATTACAGATCCGTCTTGTCTCTGACCATCACATTTTGTGATGGTTACGGTTTCCAGAGCTTAAAAAAGAAGATATAATTGTTTAAACACATTTTATTAAAGTAAAATAAAACAAGTATCTTTTTTTTTGCTTAAGAATAGAACACAAAGGACCCTAGATCAGTCGGTAGAGCGCTCGCTCCTTGATCGGGAGGTTGTGAGTTCGTATCTCAGCCGCGACTGACCCATGTCAATAAAAAATGCGCAGCAGCTGTTCCTTTGCCATGCTCTCGGCACTTTGAAGTGAAAGTTGCAGGTCCTTCGGATGAGACCTTAAAAACCAGGGCCCGTGTCAGCGGCAGGTGTTGGCACGATAAAGATCCCTCACTGGTCAATGGCCCTGAGTGCCGAGTATATATAGGTCAAAATTTGAAGCCCTTCACCGGCATACGGTGACGTCTCCATATGAGTGAAAAATTCTCGAGAGGGGCGTTAAACAACATACAATCAATCAATCGAACACAAAGGATGTATTAACATGTATATGCACCTGTCTCCGATACATTGAACTCTCCTAGATTTTTCTTTCTACAATTTTAAAATAAATCTATGAACTTGTACTCAAAACAACATGACAGTCAAGGTGTAAAAAAAACGAACAGTGATCAGTCTAAAATAACAATAAACAATACATGTCTATGAATACTTTAAACTATGGACTTCTGGAAATTCTAGAGATGGAATAAGATCTAGTATAGGAGCTGACATCCTCTGATGACCAGAAATATTCACCATGCATTTGAGTCCAATGTATTGAAAGGTAGTTAGAATATTTCGTAGTCAAATTCAGTACAAAAACTAAGGCAACAATTGGTGGAAAACACACCAATTAAACTACGACCCTATGGGAGGCTGTTGTGGAATCAATGGAGTCATTAATACGACCATATTGTTTTCGAAATTGTGACTTTACGTGACTCGAAGTCGTTAAATCTACTTCTAGTAAATTTACAAATTTTAAAGAACACTCACCAGTATCTTGCGTTCCTCCTGCGACACTCAATAATAAAAAGCAGATGATCAAGTATAGTACTTGAAGCATTAAAAAACGGTTGATGTTCGTAAAGACCATCTTAACATACATTTATAACATGTATATGTTCTCCACATCCTTAACAAAAATTACTTATTCACATTTATAGCTTAAGCATCCTTCCTTGTAGTTATCTAAGTATTCCGCAAATCACATCTAATTCATAACTTCAGAACATTTAAAACGTATTTTTTTTAAAATAATTTAATTCTGGTTGTATTCTAGTTATGATTGGTTGTATTCTAGTTATGATTGGTAATGTCAAAAATAGAACTAAAGTTATATCTATGTAATCTGAGTTGGTACCGGATATGCCCCACTGACAACCAGCTGCCAGTGAACTACTTTTTTCCGGTTTTGTAATAAATGTGTTGACTTTAAAATCATCAAGCATTTTTTTGTTTGAGTTTGTTTGCATCACAGCTAAACACTTTTTAAACTCACGTGGTTTTTCGCACAAATTAAGGTCACAATATTTTAATGCAAAAATAGTGTAATGTGACAAAAAAAAAACATATTTTAAAAATGAATTATATATAACTTTATTTTGATTATTACCCATTACTTTAAACATAATTCACACATTAATTGGTAGGATTTTTATATGCTCTTTGCTGATATCAGATGATAGTTTCCAAAAGGTTTTTTCATTGTTTCTCGTCGAATGCAAACATCTTTGTATCCGTTCATTTTAAAGCATACTTTTGCCTTGCCTTAATACAGAAACAGTTCAGTTCATGTATCTTCTGCATTTTCTGAACATTAATATAACACTAAGGCGCAAGATATGATATTTCTCATCTGTTCGATTGCTTTCCAAAATTTCAGAGCTTCAGATCATAAATGTAAAAAAATTTCGTTTCGATATTTTCAAATTATTTTGTTAAATGACAGACAAAACTTTATTATCCTAATTCTTTTACATGATTTCTGAATGCAGTATTGTCATTTTTCGGCGCTGATTTTCGACAAAACCAAGACAGGAACGACAAAAGATATATTTTTTTATTATGTAAAAAATGAATGAAGTGTATCAATTTTCAAATCAATTAGAACAATGCTACTAATTTATTATTGTTTGACGTTTTGCATTATCTTCAATTTTCATCCACTGAGATACCTGTATACAGAATTGTATTCTTGCACTAATTCAAATGGTGTAGGCATTATTCTGAGTTTATCATTTTAGAAGAATGGCTAATAATTATAAATTCATTTTTTAAAGAAAGTATACATTGATTTTAAACGACCGATGATTGAGTTAATGAGTGTAATCTATCAAACTCTGCTTCCAAGAGTTAAATAGCACTAATATCTTCTTTTTCCATTTTTTTAAAAATCACTCTGACATTTCGTTTTTGTTTTGTCTTTACTCTCGTCAAAGTTTTTCCAGCTTCATCCTTAGCTTTCTGTATTTCGCTATAATTGTGTACAATGCTTGATGCCTTTTCTCACCGAGAATGGTATCAAAAACAGGTAAAATGCCTATTTCAAATAGGAAATTAATGGTTTTCAGCGGATAAGAATTTGAGACATATTTCAGACACATGTATTTGTTAAACAAAGTACATTTCTGTTTTGATGAATTCTGCATTGGAAAGGGCTGATTTAGAAGTTTTTGAATGAGGAAGTAACGACGTTGTGTTTTATGGTAGGCTAAGACATGTCAATACCAAAATATTCCTCACAGAGATCGATGTCGCATGTTTAACACATTATTTATACTGATCACTTTCTATCTTTTTCCGGGCATATTTGACAGCGTTTTGTATCTTAAGCCATGAAATAAATATCTTGTAATTTCTCCATGGGGCTTTTTCAGGAGTTTATTCTATGTTTGTTAAATATAAATAGTAGCCTTGTATCTCTCTGCTTTTTATCATGTCTAGTACACAATAATGCTTTTTTCAACAAAAAAGTGAAAGAAAACAAAAAATATCGATAATACTTATTTAAAATGCAATAGCCTTTTCATACTTTTAGATTATATAAAATTTTATAAAAGACAAAGGTGGACAAAAGGTGGCTTAAAGATAATTTAGTGAAAGTTTAAAGAAGACTGGCAACAATCTATTGGAAATCCCATGGGTACCAATTGCGCTCCATTCTAAGGTACAGAATTTGTTCAGAATATGATAGGATTAAAGAAGGAAACAATTGCTGTTGCCTTCAACTCGACCTTTGATTTATTGACCACGTGCTGTCAAGAATAACGTTATTTCAATTTTTGTGTCAATTTCATTAATTGATATATCCCGGTGAGCTTGAGATAAAAGAATTTACAGTATGTAACACACCTGTTTCATATTTGGATATTTTACTTTTAAATATGTTAATCGTAATCTACTTTGTTGTCATGTTATGTGTAGGACACACTTTCAGAGGCAATAAAAATAAAGTACATGTAGGCAGCTCATCTTGCCTACTGTGTGAAGTAAGTAAAGTCGTAGCGGTCCAATATCTTAATTGCAGGTCAAATATCTTACTCAGGTGTCCTACATTGATATTTTGAACCGCTGAGAAAAAATGTTTGACTTTTAAAAACTAGATTTCTATAGCAAACATTTTTTATGGTACAATAATAATACAATATATAACATTTTTAATACTACCTTATACAATTATTTATAAGGACATAAATATGAACAATAAAAATGCCTGTTATATTTGTGTGGGGTTAACCTGCATAAAGAAAAAAAAAATACACAACCTGTTTACGCGCTGCTACATTAGCGTCAGCATAAATTGTCACATAAACAACCAAAGAAAACATTTAATTGCTGTGGATAATAAATACTTCTATATGATCTCTACTACTCCTGTTACAACTTCTGTCGATTTTGTAATCTTGTATTAAAACTAATAGTATCAGCTTGTAATAAGTATGATATTGCGTGCTACAATGTACATAAATCAGAAAGAACGGTAACATTTTGTAAAAATATCATAAATTAATGAAAATTAATCAACTTGATACTGCCATTGAGTCGTAACCTGAAACACTATATATACCGGTATATTTTACAAAAAGGAAATTGCAAAATTTGAAATTTACATGAAGGTAAGTACTGTCTTTGATGAGAACTAACCCGAAGAAACACGTATATAAATGAACTTAAAAAATGTAACAACAGCACTGACAAGTTGTTTGGGAAGAATTTGCGAAAAAAATTGTTGTTCTTACAGGTTAAAATGGTATATAAGTGTATAAAGATAAAGATAACATTTATGTATTTTTAAAAAAATATTTTTGTCGAATACTCTGTTTCCATCAATAGGGGTAATATGTTCAAATTTTTAAAAATAACGAATACTTTTTGTTTTGGGTAAAATGCACTTTTAGATCATCGCTTATTCAATAAATCTGTTTAAGTTTTATAGTTTAATCATCCTTATCAACCCCCATAATCTCTAGACTGTTACCCCGTAGTTTACTCTTTTTTTGAGTTCACTTGTATATAACAATTCGACATACGATGAAATTAAATATAAAATTGTTAATTAACAAAACGACGTCGATATATCTAAATGTCGAGTTGAAAGTCACAGTAAGAGTTTACTTTGTGTAGAAATTTTTTAATGAATAAACATTTAAAGCCCTATTTTTCATTTGAATAACTATTGCATAATTCCTTAGAATTCCTAGGTTTTTGTATTAACATGAAAATATCTACGTTTATTTTACATGTATATCATAAAATAATCGATCCAGTGCAAAAAAGTACATTTGAATGAGCCTTCGTCTGAGCGATTAAATTGAAATGTTTCATGATCTAAAACAACATATGCTTGAAGTTACATATCTACCTTAGGCATATTAAATTTTATTGATATACTGGTGGAAGCAGAATTAGATGCATAAGTCTTTCCTCTCTCTGCACGAGCCTTCTATTCGACCATGATTTCAATGTTCAGACTGATTGATTGATTGATTATATTTTGTTTAATGTCTCTCGAAAATTTTTCACTCATATAAAGACGCCACCACTTGCCTATGGGAGCTGCAAATCTTGTCCTTTACTCGGCACTGAGGGCCATTGAGTAGTGAGGGATCTTTAACGTGCCAGCCCCTACTGCGACACAGAACCTCAGTTTATATGGTCTGATCCGAAGGACCGGTCTCAACGTCCCACAGTGGGATTCGATTTCCCAACGTAAGGATCAACTCCTTACCTCTCGACTCTAGAGCAGACGCTCTAACCACTGCGCCACGCGGATAAATGTTAAGACTGAAGGATTCCGTAAATTGTTATGAAAGTTTCCTCTTTAAATGAAAGGGGTCCGTAAATTAATTTCAGTGAAACATCTTGTGTTTGTTTTTGTAGAATGATGGTCATTGCTTTATTACTGCTAGTGCTTGGGACACAAGAAATTGTAGGAAACAATCCAATTCAAAGAACCACAAACTGGAAGCTGTTCAGAGATGATTACCTCTCAGCGATTCAGACTTGCTTCACATTAGGATTTGTCAAAGAGCAAAGGAGAGGCGGCTTAAAAACGAAAGGTAGTTTTCTAATATTTTGAGTATCAGATTTGTTTACTAAGTTGTACTGAAAACATATACATGGAAAGAAGTCATAAAATCGCATTATGTTCTGCTTAAAGATAAAAGATAACATAAGGTCTAAAACTGTTATTGACAAATACTTTTTTGTGAATTTACACAGAAATCAGAAATGTGGAGTCTTGAGTACAGAGTTTGTAAAATATATAATATGATACATGATTCTCTTCTAGAACCAGTTGCATTTGAAGCAAGCCTTGGCTCTTCACTGAGGAACATGAAAATGGGTCAGAGAGTAATTTTCTCCACATTAGGTGAAAACAATGGCAACGGATATGACGCAAGCTCTGGTGTCTTCACTGCTCCCGGAAGTGGCGTTTATATTTTCGTTTGGAGTATAGTGTCAACAGAAACACGTTTTTCCTCCACGGCTTTAATTGTCAATGGAAAGCAGAGGGCTGTTAACCAGTGTAATTCAAAGAAGGCAAATAATGACTCTTGTACACGTACGACTGTGGTAAAACTAGCGGTCGGTGAAAAAGTCTGGATTGAATCTGTACAAGACAACTCAGCTATTGATGATTATAAAAGTTCATCTTTTGCCGGATTCAGACTGTAACGTTTTATAAGACACCTCTACTTTTTTGGGGTGGGTGGGTGGGTGGGGTTATGATCATTTAATTGTCAAATGAAAATTTAAATTGAATTTCATTATTTTGCCAAAATACAGTTTTCAAATAAATCCTTTTTAATAACGAAAAGCAAGAAATTATCAGGGCTGTAGTAAGAGTAGAAGAGTCGCTTTTGAAATTTGACAGATTCTGATATAGCTTTTGGTAAAATTAAAAAGATACACTGTTATGTTATGTTTGACTTATGGTAATTTTTTACAGGACTTACCTTTTATTGATTGCATCTTTTAAACTCTCTACAAGAATCAATTTCTATAACTGCGATACATCTCATTAAATCATGGTAGCAAAAGAATTCTGGAAAGATTTCACACAAAAGTTTGCCTGACGAATATTATACGAGGGTTGATCCAAAAGTAATGTCACACTGTCCATATCTTTTATATTTGACGTCATATTATCAAATACAATATACCAAAAGATGCACAAATATGAATCTAATTAACATAGATGTTTAAAACATAAAGGATAGGGGGTGTCGTCGCGACACAACAGAAGTCACGTTTTAAAGTGTATTTTTCTCAGAATGAAAAAGACAAACATATCAAAAAGATTCTAAAAAAGCACCAAAATTTTCAATTTATTAAAAGACACAATTCTCGTCATTTTCTATTCTTTCATTGAAAATTAAATGACGGCATTGGTAACTGTGATCATAAACATTGTTGTTTTACTCTGTTGAATTGAACAAAGGGATTGTCGAAATAGGAAAGAACGACTCAACGAGTTGTAATGCATTTTTGCTTCAAAATATGGGAATCATCACAAGCGACAGTTACGTTAATTAATCAGACTCACAGAATAAAGAATGTAAATAAGACACATCTTAATAGATGGTTTCAGCAATTTTGGGCGTGTGATTGGTTACTGAATGATTAGCAGAGGACAAGAAGACCGAAAGATATGAGGTCGGACGGAAACGTTCAATGCTCTCTGACGTTGTCAAAAAAAAAAAACAAAGACGTATAGAGTGACCTGTGAATTTTCAAGATTGTATTATGCTACTGTTCAAAAGTAATTTAACAGAGGGCTTAATTATGAAAAGAGTGAGTGTATAATGGTACCAAGTATTCTTAAAGAAAGTGGAATTGGTGAAAGTGTTTGCGAATCACAAATATTTGTTAATGAAACGAAGGGGAAACGCTTACAAGTGTGACGATGCGTATCCGTCATATGACGTTATATGACGTTATATTTAGGTGCGGCGACTACAATAAACGCACATTGTTAAAAATCCGATATTTTGGAAAGTATACATCATGTTACTTTGAATTTTTCAGGTCTGATTTGAAATAAATAAAGCTTCATTCATGTGTAATTTTGTTACTTTACGTCGATTTATAGCAATTTTATCAAAGTTGTGACATTACTTTTGGATCAACCCTCGTATATAAGTGCTTTATTATGTAATATGACTAACATAGTCACAGACATTCAAAAATCTTTATTTCTGGATAAATCATTTCAGAAGTATGGTTGATATATTCAGGAATCATACTAAGGGTACTATTTATTGAAACAGCGTGTTTATGAGAATGCCTCGTGTAACTAATATTACACGGCCGTATGAACACGTTATTAAAATTTTTATTTTCAAAAATATGGATTTCCGAAGAACATTCATTGGATTCAACAGATTTGTTCCGTGTATTAGTTAATTGTAAAATCCCTAAGTCTTTATGATACACTTGCATTTTAAACTTAATTTCCTGATAATTTACGTTCATTAAAGATCCGTCTTGTGTCTGACCATCACATCTTTTGATGTTTACGATTTCCAGAGCTAAAAAAGGAAAATATTGTTAAAACCTGTCTCATTAAAGTGAAATGGCATGCATATCCTTTTATCGATTCGGAATAAACTTGCTGTATTTTCGAAATCAATACAAAAGGTGTATAAACATGTATTTCCACTTGTTTCCGACACATTGACATCTGCTCGATTTTTCTTTCACATTTTTTAAATAAATCTACGTAATCAAACACGTAAGAACATAAAGGGTTTAAATTGAAAAACAAACAATGATCGGTCTTAAAATAGCTATAAACATTACTACATCATTCATGGATTTTGACGATGGGAAACTTAAGAAATGAAATGTATGGAGATAACACACAATAGTAAAGTCCAAATGTCCTTTCATACCATGCAAGTCAGAAGCAGAACAAACATAAACCTCTAAAGCAACAGAGATGTGACTATGTTGCACTAAGGAGTGAGTATCCCCTGTCAAATATTCATTTCCACCGTGTGCTCCATTGTCATTATCGGGAAATGACCGAACAATTTACCACAATTCAGAGTGCAAAATTTTATAACATATTTAATTTAGATAAGTAGACTTAATGAACACTCACCAGCAGCTTTCGTTGCTCCAGTGATACTCTATAATAAAACGCAGATGATCATGTGTGTTACATGTACTTGAAGCATTAAACAGTGTTAAAGAACGACTGATGTACGTACATGTAAAGACGATCTCCATATATATGTTCTCAACAACCTTAAAAGTATTACTCATTCTCATTCATAACTAAAGCAACCTTCCTTGTAGTTATCTACGTATTCAGCAAATCTAGTT